TGACTTTTTCGCGAGCATCTCTTTTTCGCGAATTTAGCGAGAGTACTGATTCGCTAATTAAAGATGTCACTAATGGCTTTTTTATAAATTCAAAATAGCCGCCAAACAAAGAAATCAACAATGACAAGAGAGATTCGCTAAATCAACATTTCGCTATTTACGTCATTTTACCACAATTCGCTAAAATTGCATGCCGCTTTTTCAACATGTTTTACAGTAACTTTATTTCGTCTACAACGGTCATTGGAGTGTCTAGGGAAGTGTCTCGGCATGTTGCAAAGTTCCTCGATAATAGTTAGGTGTATGTAAATATCTTGCGCCTGCTGTGATGATCCCTAGGTGAGTGACTACAATAACTGACACCCTAGGTGCAAGCTTGGACCTACTAACACGTAGGCACATGGTGCAAGACTACGATGACCGACTTTTTAGGTGTGTAACTACTATGACCGATTTCAGTCCCAATGTAAATGATAACGATCACTGACAACCCTATGCGAATGACCACGGTCACTGAGTGAGTGAGTGACTTTGTGAGAGGCTGCGATTACTGGCAGCCCTATGTGAATGACTACGGTCACTGACTCTCTCTGTGAGGGGCTACGATCACTGATTCCTCTGCGTGAATGACTACGTTGTCTGACTCAGACTAGCGAGCACACACTGACGCCCTAGGTGAGTGGCGACTTTTACTGACTCCCTATGATGTGAGTGACTACGACGACTGACTAATTTATATTTTTAGCTTGCCGAATGTAATCACTGCACGTGTTACGTGCCCAAGACGTTATAACATATTTGTCGCATTCGAACTTCGCCAATTAAACGGACCAAATTCTAACGGATCGAATTCTATTAAAGCTTCAGTGATGTCACGGAGATTAGTCAAACTAACACAAGTATCCGCTTTAAAACGGAAATAAACACACCATACCATTCGGAGCGTACTAGTACTTTACACTGAAGAGTTTGTGGTTCAATTGTCATGGAAACCGCATTATTTCAAAATCCTGCCTAATCTTAAACTACAGATGTATTATGCCACGTACTTACAATGAGAAAGTGATTATGCCAATCCCAATCAGCCAATTTCTGTTTCGTTTCCGCATGTGTGTTTTGAATGCGCATGCGCCTGGGGAATCCCGGACCAATTTCTCACCTGTTACATCCTGGCATTTTGAGTAACAAAGAAATGGGAATGAGTAATTGAGAACAATGTAATGATTATAAAAGAGGCTTTTTAAAGTGATTTTAAAACATGTGCTGACCGCTGTCCTTTTATAGAGGGACTTTGTGGGTGACACTTTCATTGCCCACTACTAAAAATTCATATCTTTGGGGCCGGTTATACGCTTGATACATTTCAAGAAATTGTAATTTTTACATCATGTAATATGCTATATCACGTGACTTTACAGTGTGATTACGTCATCGAAAATTGGACATGTCCACTTTATTGTTCATACATGTACACCTGTAATCATGATTCCGAGTTTTACCCCAGTGTTTTATTTATTCATTTTCCACTATTTTGTGATGATCCTTCACATTCATGATGGAAATATGTGAAGAACATATATTAATATGTACAGAATAAATCAGTTTGGCAAACTTAATTTACAAGTTTCCTTTGTACCAAGTGCAGTGTTTACAAGATTCCTTTGTACTAAGTGTGATGTTTATAAGATTCCTTTGTACTAAGTGTGGTGTTTACAAGATTCCTTTGTACTAAGTGTGGTGTTTACAAGATTCCTTTATACTAAGTGTGGTGTTTACAATATTCCTTTGTGCTAAGTGTGGTGTTTACAAGATTCATTTGTACTAAGTGTGATGTTTACAAGTCTCCTTTGTACTAAGTGCTGTGTTTACAAGATTCCTTTTTGACTAAGTGTGGTGTTTACAAGATTCCTTTGTGCTAAGTATGGTGTTTACAAGATTTCTTTGTACTATGTGTGGTGTTTACAAGATTCCTTTGTACTAAGTGTGATGTTAACAAGACTCCGTTGTACTAAGTATGGTGTTTACAAGACTCATTTGTACTAAGTGTGATGTTTACAAGATTCACTTGTACTAAGTATGGTGTTTACAAGATTCATGTGTAATACGTCTTGTGTTTACAAGATTCCCTTGTGCTAAGTGTGGTGTTTACAAGATTCCTTTGTACTGAGTGTGGTGTTTACAAGATTCCTTGGTACTAAGTATGGTGTTTACAAGATTCCTTTGTACTAAGTATGGTGTTTACAAGATTCCTTGGTACTAAGTATGGTGTTTACAAGATTCCTTTGTACTAAGTATGGTGTTTACAAGATTCCTTTGTACTAAGTGTGGTGTTTACAAGATTCCTTGAACTAAGTGCTGTGTTTACAAGATTCTTTTGTACTAAGTATATTGTTTACAAGATTTCCTTGAACTAAGTGTGGTCTTTACAAAACTTCATTGTAGTATGTGTGGAATTTACTAAACTTCTTTGTAATAAGGGTGCCACTCAAGACAAAATTAAGTGCGAATATTCCAGAGCATATTTGTATCAAATTTCATGGAAATCTATTGAATGGAATGAATAAATATACATAAATACAAACTGCACAAGACTCGAGTGTCTGTACACACAAAAAAAACACACACAATTTCTTGTATATTTTTATTTCCCTTGAAATTGCTTAATTACATGTAATTAGTAATTAACACCAGAGAGATTACATATACAGCAGTATACCTACAAAGCTGACACATTTGGACACCCCCCTGGAATTATCGAAAAATTTATTTACATTTCATTCAAAAATGGAACTATCTAAACTAGTTTTATGGTGTATTGAAAAACATCCAGTTATTTAGTGAACTTGGCTCAATAGGTTGGCATGGACAACACAGCAATATTATAATCTATTGTGTGTATCTGTATGCAAGGTACATTGAGTGGTTGGCATAACGATGTAGTAAAATACAAGATAAGTATGGTATACCACAAACTGTTTTAAGTTTCAGAGACCAATCTTTGAGAATCAGCAATAACCACAAATGTTTGTAGCAGTGAAAACATTATTGGGATTCTTGGGTAAGGTTGTGGAAGAGAAATTTTCCCTGGGTTTAATTTGATGTTTGCAGGAATATTCCCTAATCAAAGTTGTCGCAGTTCATCTAAATACAGTTTTTTGATATTTTTCAAACGATTTTGATTCAGAACAGTATTAAGTTCATTTGGTCCAAAATTAACAGAAATTAAATAAAAACGTTACACCCAATTTATGGTTTTCATTGGATAATGGTTTAAGACACTCCTCCATTATGTAAACAAAATACCATACATGTTTCCATTATTGTGAAAATGCACAATAAACCATTTTGCACATATTGAAAAAGAACCTACAGATGAGGTGGGCTCATGCACACCACAAATATTACATATCCAAATGTACATGTAATCATGTCTACCATCAATTGCATGGAAGGGACACACCTTGAAAATATAAAGCATTGCACAAATACCCCACGAGTGTCTGTAATTCAAAACACAAGTGCCACAACATTACAAATGATTAGTCAGAGAACTTCCTTGAAATATTTCCATTTCTTGTACTTCTTTATGACATCATAAATGAAGTACAAATTCTACATACACTTCAACAGATGAATACCTAGTGCAGACCAGATGACTTCCCAGTGAATAGGGGGTGGGGGAGGGGGGTGGAGGGAGGGAGGGATGTTCACAATGATTGAATACACAATTAGTTTATTTATATTGCTGCTATGTCTTAGAATAAAAGCAATTGACAGACAAATTAGACAACACAGGCCCCACCAAAGGAAACTCACTAAGTATTCTGATTGGGTAGGGGTGGGTCGTTACATTGAATACACACAATGCCCCAACTAAAGATTTAATTTGACTACAAATATGGCAACCATGCAGGAATTTACATTTCTATTGTTTGTATAAAACTACAACCACTTTTCTTATATTAAAACTATCTGCTGCATGTTTTGGGTGAAATATCGAAAGCTTTAAACTCATATTCCAGTAGTAATAACAGCACAAGTAAAAATTTGCATTAAATCTTCATTAACAAATATCAGAAATTAAATAAATCTATAATCTAGTACAATAATAGGGTGATAATTATTATAATTAATTGATATATAAATACACACCAACATAATATTTTTAATTAAATACATATCTCACAGTTTATAGACATTTGTGAAGAATGGAATACATAACTTTAAAAGGTGCAATGGAGTACTGATTTGAATTATCACAAGAGTGGGCACTTTAACCCTTATCCTGCCAGCCCCATATACTGTAAAATGACTAATTTTCACTAGGTTTAAATTTCGCTGATTTACCATTTCAGGCATATTCAGTGGGTTTTAAATTCACGGTTTTATCATTTAGATAATATGTTTTATGCTAAATTTTACATATTCACTGGGTTTTAATTTAGCGCATTTTCCAGTCAGCGAAATAAGCCAAATTAAAACCCAGTGAATAATTAACCATTTTACAGTACTTTAAATTGACTTTATCAGATAAGATTTAAAGGTGTACTGCTTTGTTTTTCCAGGAAACTAAAAGCTTTAATGGTGTACAGTTTTGGTTCATGAGGTTGCTGTCTTCTTATGTATTAAGAATGTCGACATGAAACTATTTTGAAGGGATCAATTTAATCTTTTTGTCCTTGACTGAAACAAAAATTCACAATTATAAGCCCATTCTTCACAAGTGCCTCACCACATGAAATGAAAGATTAATATACATTTTCAACTCGTACAGAAAATATCACAATTTTCACAAAACCAATTTTGTGTCAAGCAAGTTTTTCATGAGAAATTCACTACATGTAAAATTGTCTTCGTGCTAGTTTTATATTCACTAGAGCACCAGATAATTCTTTCTATAAACTCAAAGACATTCACAGTAGTTTACAATACATAAGGCCTCTTATAACCTATACCTTGAAGTACAATACTTGTTCTCCAATCTGTAAAACAGGGCGTGCACTACATAGCTCATTTGTGTAGCGAGAAATCTGTATGGTGTGATTATTCTTGGCTATAAATAGCTTGTCTCTTTATTTGCTTATAATTAGCCTGCTCATAATTCTGACCAATCAGCAGTATGGAATTTACTGTCAACTGTGATTTCGAAAGAGACAAATTATGCGAGTCAGAAAAAAAAATCCCAATACGTCATAGCGGTGAAGATTTTACTCTGAATGCCAAGGTCAAATGTTGATTTGGTCCGAAAAATAAAAAAAAGAAATTGTTGAAAATTACACTCAAGATGTTACATACAAATGTTGGTGTTCAAAGTTAAAACCAGGGGTCACAAAATATCATTCTCATGAAAGCCATTAAATCGTCAAATCAAGTAAAATGGATAGTGATGACAATTAAGTTCACAGTCAGTGTTTTAATTCTTTCTCACAACAATCTCTCAAGTCATCATCAAAAATAATTTCTTTCTAATTTAGACAAATTTGACAATTTCATACTTATTGTGACTTTAAAGGGGTCATCACAACTGATTTGACTTTGTCGGATATATGATGCAATCAAAACATATCAGCAAAATATTTTGGCGCTGTGATAATCGTTCAGAGACAAAATTAGATTTGATTAGCACAGAATCGAACAAGAAAGTGATGACTTTGAGAGTGACAACATGTATTGTTACATTTGTAGGGATTTAGTTCATAAGTGACATTTTGGATCACGTCTAAATGTGAAATGGAACAACAGTTGACAGCATGACCATAGACAAAATGTACGCTTATTTATTTTGTGTGTAAAAAACAATGCCTGCATTTATTGTGACTGAGGTATATCATATAATCAACTACAAAACACCACAAACCTGTTTTCTTCAAAATTGGATCAATATTCAGACAATATTTACACACCAAGACGAGAATTGCAAAATAAATTATTTGTGAAAATTAGTTGTTAATGCAAGGCAGTAACGTCAAAGACCTTTCCTGTCCGGAGGAAAAACTTTCGAAGTATGTGCCGTAATTCTGTCTTCAAGTCAAAAACCATGGCTTCGCAGAGAAGCGGGTAGTATGTTGCAGCATGCGATTTGAACTGTAGGGCAAAGTAGAAGAAATCAGGAATGAATAACAATAAGTTGATTTATTTTTTAATCATGAAAGATCAAACCGAACGAG